GTGATGAAATGGAATGGATGGAATGAGGGGATGTTGGACGTTTCTGAGATCATCAGATGGAAGAGAAAGCCATCTTCCCTGTCGCCAGCCATGCGAGAGTTCTAGTTTTGGGAGAACCAAAGTGCATCAAAATGTTTCCCCAGGCTGGAGAGGCAGGACAGGACGACCCGGATGCCTGGAATTCCCGGCCTCCTTCCACATGCTCCAGGGATGCACAATTTGAGGAGGAGGCAACGAAAGGGGGGTGGCATAAGATCCAGAGTACCCCACCATTGGCCGTGGTGGCAATTGAAGAGAGTGGAGCCTCTGTCCAGGTCGCCCTTCAGAGCAGCAGAGGGTGTCCCAGTGAGCACCAACCCTTTAGCCATCAGTCAAATTACATTCTCTGCCAGTTCTCTGCTCTTTAGGAAGTGGAAGAAATGAAACGTTTTTGTCTCAGTTCCCCAACAGAACCAACCACTGTGAGACCCCTTGCTGTTGTCTTCCCAGGCAGCACAGTAATAATCAGCCTCATCCTCTGGCTGGGCGTTGGTGATGGTTAGATAGTTGGGGTTCCCAGAGCTGGAACCCGAGAACCGATCCGGGATCCCTTCTCCCTTGTTGCTTCCATACAGCACGAACTGGGGACGCTGCCCAGGCAGCTGTCGGACCCAGCCGAAGTAATACCAGCTGCCGCCAGCACTTGCGGTGCACGGGAGTTTGACTGTTTGCCCCGGAGACACGGACTGCGACGGAGGCTGGGTGAGGACGTGTTGTGCGCTGACACCTGTGCAAACAAGGAGGGAAATACTGTCACTCATTTTCCAAGCTCTCCGATTCTCTTGAAGCACAAAGCTTCTCAAATATGGCTATATATTTAATTTTGCTGAAGACCACTGGCTATTCTGATGCTGACTTTCCATGCCTCACCTGCAGAATAACTGAGCAGGGTCCAGAAGAGGAGAGCCCAGGCCATGCTGACCACTCTAGAGGAGCTCGGGGTTCTGGAGAGAAGGAATCTTTGCTGGGCTGCCTCTGGCTTGGCCGCTTAAATTGCTCATGGTGGAAGTACAACCCCTTCATGCAAATCAGAGCACTGACTTGAGCCAAAGTTCACAGCACCGCTGAGACTGAGCAGTGTTCAAGCTGAGCCAGGCATCCTGCGCCAAAAGTGCCCGAGGAAGGGTCTTTGCGCTCCTGGGAGCAGCGTGTGGCATGGCAAGTTGGCAGGGACAGTGCAGCCCACCGTGGTCAAGCCCAATGCAAGGTCCACCTAGTCCATGCCATTCAAAAGGGAAAAAATTTAAAGGGCTGCCTAGATTTACCTATATCCAGGTATACATGCACATACTCTCTCAAACACACAGGTATAGCTATCTACATAGAAATAAACAAACTCAAACCACGGTCTGCTAAATATCCGTATATTCATCCACGTGCAGTGGCATCTAAATATCATTCATTCAAGGGTTAAGTGTTGTGAGGTCCTCAGTCCATTTCATTATAGACGGTGTGTTCTTATCCTTCTTATCCTTCGTTCATTTATCATCCCTGAGAAAGGACGGCAGATTTCATGACAGTTTTTCATCAGTGTCCCACAGATTATCAAGGGCCAGGCATCACTCTTTTTGTTGTCAGCTCATCCATGGAATTGGATTTGTTTGTTTTTTGGAATGTACGAAAATATTGTTCCCATTTGCATGGGAACAATGCACACTTGCTCAAATTGCAGTCCCATCATCCTGCTAAAAACAGCCTAGCCTACGAGTCCATGGAGTCTTCTGACTCAGAATGAGACACTCCAGTGCAGAATCAGGAGCTGGATGTAAGGAAATCCCAGGCCACAAAGTTGACCTTCCCCATCTTGGGGGACCATCTCCAAGGAACTGGACCTTGATCTTTTTGCATGCACAACAGGTAAGTTCTACCACTAAGGTTCAAGCTATGCTTGTTTACCAACTGGTGGATAGACAAGAATAGTACCAGTGGAAACTGGACTCTTCTGTACTGTTCTATACCCTTCTATACTCTTCTTCACTTTCTAACTCTTAAGAAAGTATGCAATAGAGATGAATAGACCAGAGTCCTTTATGGATTTCCTCAAATATGGGTCAAGCATGCCATCATCTCAACCTCCACTTCCTAGTCTTAAAAAGAAACCCAGAATCTTCTCCTCTGGACACACAGATCAGAAATAGCTTTAGTCCATGGGAACAGTTTGGGTAATGCAAACAGTCTTAAATTCTGCTCTTCAATACAGGTTGGACATTTTCAAATGAGACACCATATTTAAACAGAGCTCATTCTCCAACACTTTTATTACTCCTGGGATTTTCAAATCACGTGCTTCTGAGAAGCTGCAAGTATGAGACATGGAATGAAAAAGGGCTACTGCAAAGTATTTCCCTGCATTTGGAGAGCTAGAATCAATTCTCTTGTGCAGCTACGTCAAGGCAGAGTGGGGGGAAACGGATGGAGAAATGTCTTGATTTAAGACTTCTTGTATTCAATCCTTTCCACTTTCACATCATCACCAATGAGTTGGTACACGTAAGTTACGACTGTAGAGGACTGGACATCCAGCAGAACAAATGAAGGGGTGATATTTCTGGAAGGAATAAAGTATTTGTGTTAGAAATGTTACAAAACCAAACTGAAGTATTTCCCAGTATACCAGTTCACTAAGACACTGGCCACAACAAAGAAGAACTTTGGCTTCTGAATTGTGCCTTTGTTTTGAGTGTGGGAATGGGGATCTTTGGTGCTACAGAGGGTGGGCTTTCTACCCCAGAATGCTCTGGTTTCAACCTTGAGAACAACTACCCACACTGTTTCCACTGTAGAACCTGGAAGAGGGGAAACCTACATCAACCCAGCCACGCATGGGCCTCATCTTTGGAGGACCTCTGCTAGTTCCCTCACTAGTTGCCCCAGGACTGAGATGGAAAACTGGGAAACTCACTCATACGTAGCACCCAATTTATAGCATTGTCTTTCCATTGAAGTCCCTGTGTTAGTCTATTTTCAGCTTAAAGCAGAGATCTTTGCCACTCCCATTTGATCTTCTTGTGATTTATTCTTGATAAGATGTTATGCTGCCTCTTTTTAAATACTATTGTCACTTTACTCTGCTTTTAAAAAAAAGTATACATGTATTATGTCTTTCTTTCCAACTCCCCTCCCCCCGCCCCCCACTGGTATATGAATGAATAGAATCCCATTCATTTTGCAGCATATGTTTAGAAGGTACCAGAGGGATTGGAAATAGGAAAACCCTGGACAAGCCACTCGCTTTCCCAGCTCTCATGCCAGGACTTACTTGAAGGAAACTCCAGTTACACCCATTTGTCCTTCTCCCCCAAGATGCACTTGTCTTCTCTGCCTTCCTCAAGATTATCCTTTTCCCAAATGATGGGCTAAGTCCAACTCATCTGAAAGTTAAGAAAGCTGCCCCAGAGGGTATATGGAGGAAAGGACTACTGTGACTGCTAGGCTTGCTGGCTGTGTGCTCCCTCCATGATCAACGGTGGCATGCCTAAGTTCATCAGCTGCCGAGGAGCTTGGGCAGGAGGAGGTCTTGCACCCCTCCTTCTCGAGGGATCCTTGGACAGCTGTTTTGCCATCGTGCGTATGGACTGCTGGACTGGACAGACCATTGATTGGGTCCAACTTGACTTTCCACGTGTTCTGAAATGTCACTCTACCTTTCCAAGGCATTATAGGCTCCAGTGGCTGATCCTGGGTTGATATAGAACTTATTCTCATGCTCCAATGCCTCGAATTTGTGGGTGTGCCCCGAAATTAGGATGTCCACATTGAGCTGCCTCCGCAGGATTGCCAAGCTGGCCAGGTCGCCCCAGGGAATAACTTGATGACCGTGGATCAGACCGATTTTAAACTGCCCAACCGTGATGATTTTCTGCTGTGGGTAACTGAGGCACTGCAAAAGGATGTGGTTAGTCGTCGAACCGATACACAGATAAGCGATACTGCATCGAGCTCCCTTCAGATAGATGAAGGTAACAGTACCTTCAATAAGCTGAGCTTGCAATCCCATGATATACACATGCGTGCACACACACACGCACACACACACGAGAGGCAGTGGGGTGTAGTGGATAGACTTTTGGATTTGGGAGATCCAGGTTCTAGTCCCAGCTTCTCCATGAAGCTCACGGGGTGACTCTGGGCCAGGCATGACTCTCAGCCTCACCTGCCTCACAAGGGCATTGCAAGGATAAAATGGAGAAGAGCGCTGGGCTCCTTGGAGGACGGATGGGGACAGATGAGACACACCCCCCAGACAGCAACAGTCATGAGTCTGGCCACCTCCACCAGTGCAGGCTCCTAAGAGCCCTCGGGCAAGATGCCTCGGTGAGTTCTCCCCTTCAGTACACCTACTTTCTGGCCACCATGGCCACCAGCTGCTCTCGCTCCTCCTCTTCTTCCTCAGCACGGCCACCACATGCTCGCTTGGCGGATGCTCAGGTGGCGAGCAAGCAGGCAGGGGCATCTGTGGCTCCTCCTGCTCAACGCCACTGCTGCCTGGGCCACGGATGGGCAAGCATGATGCAATGGGGGAGAAGGGGAGCAACTCTAGGGTGTGGAACGGGCTTCCCCGGGGGGTGGTCGAGGCCCCACCAGTGCGGGTGTTCAAGGATAGGCTGGGCATGCACATGGTGGGCATGTCATGAGCCGAGCCGGCTGGTGCGGGGGTCAGACTAGATGGCCCGGGAGACCCCTTCTGACTCGCTCTGTTTCGATGTTTCTCCAGGGCGCCCTGCTGGGCTGCGGGTCCTCAGCAGAAGCCACAGCATGCCTCCCTGTGCTGCTGCCCCTGACCTTGCACCTGCGAGAACATGCAATGCTGCTTCTCGCTATCCCCACCCCCTGACCCACCAGTCCAGGTGCTGATACCAAGCCTGGAAACTGCCCTCTGGGAGGTCCTTTGGTCCTCCACTGGCCCAGCAAGACCACGAAGTCCAACGTACTTGCATAGATTCACGCAAAGGACAGTCCTAGTTTTAGAGGAACACACTCTACCTCATCGAAGTCTCCTCGGACGACGTGGACATCGCCAGCCAGCGTCCGCAAGTACTCATAGCTCTCCCTCGTACAGAGATTCCCAGTGCAGAGGATGTGCTGGATCTTCCCTGGAACCAGGAGCTTCTTGAACTTGGCTGGGAGGCTGTTACACCGATGCGGGATATGAAGATCTCCCAACACTAGCACCAACTTGGCCAAGAGAATAGCGGCACAGTCAGGAAATTCCCAGCTCTTGGAGAGCTAAACTCCACTGAGGGCTTATTTTAATTTCAAGTGTGTACCCAGAACTCAATGGTTGGAGCAAGGGAAGGGGTGACATACCATTTTTAATCAAATGAAATGTACATTAGATATGTAAGGATATTTGGAAACAGATAGGAAAGGGAACCTCTTTCTGCCTAAAGGAAAGGAATCCCTAGGAATTTCTCTGGATTCTAAAAGAACAAGTAAGGAATTTGTTGTTCCTTCAACTGTAGAGCATTATAAGAACCCTGTAACTTTGAGAAATGCAGCATATGTTTGCTTGCTTTCCTCCTCCTCCTCCTCCTCTCCTCTTTTAGTTCCATGTCTTTTACTTTATCAGCCAGAGGACAAGGATTGGTTTGCTAATGACCACATAAGTAAGCTGTCGGGGAGACTGCAGCTGGAAAAAAGGCTTGATAAATAGTGTTTAATTCATCACACAGTTTAACAGAAGCTAACTTGTAGATTTTTATTTTAGACCCTTCTAAACTACAGAACTGGGTTTACTTTCCCTGCTTGCAAAATAGTTTGGATCTGGCTAAGTACTTCTACTTAGGACTAAAGCTCCTGGACCAAAACCTCTGGAACAACAGGCGAGATCTAAGGCATTGTTCTACCATCCCTTTATCATCCAAATCTACAGAGACCTGTGCTTTTAGAAGAATAGGAGAAGCTGAAATCCTATGAGACAATCACATAACAATGAGAAGGAACATGTTTGATCTTAATCCAGGGCATGTTTTCCCTTCCCTTCCATTTTACTAAGGCTCCTTGTTACATATTCCAAGTAACAAGTTCTCACTACACCAAATGGGGCTTCTCTGTCTCTGGTGTAGAGATGGAAGAGCCCCTATCAGCCCCAGAGCTGAATTCCATTTTGGGGAGTTCCTGGGGACTCCCTCCCAGAGGTGCGTGTGGTCAGAAGCAAACAGGGAATGGCCAATTTAAAACCAAGAAATTAAAAGATTTTAGTGGAAAGCTTTCTACCAGTAATAAACCAGCGGCTTCCCCACAACCAGCAGAAAGGGGAGGCACTGGGGCTCAGGACTGACTGGTAATTTCAGCCACTCTGATCTGGTATTCCTGCCCATGTAATCAGGACTTTGCATCCTCTAGTGCTTGGCCTTAGAACCTGCTTTAAGTTCGGGAGCACATGCATTATTCTCACCAGAGACAAGTGCATCTGAGCATATGCAGAGTACATATCCCTTCTTTGTCAATGCAGCCAATGCATAGGTGGATTGGTAAACCAGGCTTCCAAGCAACGCTTTCTAGAGCCAAACAGATGCCAATTTTTTGTTGCAAGAAGTGGACCGCTGCTTTTAGGATAGGATAAGCAATGCCAGGGACGTGCAGTGTGTATCTACTTCTCTCATATGCCCAGAAACACTCTGGTCAAGAAAGCAGAATCCCAGCATTGGAAAAAGATTTCCAGGCAGAACACTGGGAATCTTTTCAGCAGGAAACATTAAAGGCAACATACTTCCAGAAGGAAAAGACACTACTGAGAAGATCAGCCCCATCACCAGAGCGTAAAGCAAAAGACACCTTGGATCCCGCTCTCTGCTTACCATCCTGCTTCACTCCAGTCTCCCGGCACTGCTCAAACAAGCAACACACCCAGGCAAACACACCAAGCTGCAATTGCCGCAGCAGCTGCCGACGAGCAAAATTAGTAGTTGCTAGTGCTTCTTGCACGTGTGCAGTGCAGAGATGAGGTCATTGCCCTGACCTCACCGGTTGCCTGTCCTCTCCTCTTTTGACTGGGGCCCAGTCCTGAAAACTCTCAGGCACACAACTGCTTGGAGAGATGTTGCCAGGACCGTGTCAAACCTAAGGGAAGTTTAAGATCTAGGGCAGATTGGGAGCTGGTGTGGCGTCGTGGTTCGAGTGTTGGACTGGGACTTGGGAGTCCTGGGTTCTAGTCCCTATGTGGCCATGACGTGTGCTAGGAGACCTGGGGGCAAGCACTGACTTTCTGCCTAGCCTACCTCACATGGTTGTGGGGGGGTGAAAGGTAGGGAGGGTGACTGTTTGTGTGCCAGCTCGGACTGTTTGGAAGAGAGGAAGGCTATAACTGTAACAAAGAAAGAAGGCAGAGGGGCAGAACCTCAAGCCCAGGGGCAAATGTGACCCTTTGTTCCCCAGAAAGCCATTCGGACTGCCACTGACCGCAGTGCAGCTCCAAGCTAAAGCTGGAACCAATCACAGCACAGGGTCTCATCCCAGAGGCAAGTTTCCAAACTTTCAAGGCATGAACCCCATTTGAGTTTCCCGTTGTGCTATTAACAGATGCTGCGCCTCCTCCAACCAGTGGAAGCAATAAAAGAAATGAGATAACATTCTTTACTGCATCTGTCACAGGACTGAGCCAAGGACACGGGGAGAAAAAATCCCAAGGCAAAGAATACTGCACCCTGCAGATAAACTGTCTAAATAAAGCAAGCAAGAAAGCAAAGTTTCCATTGTTTGGCAAGCAGGATCCTGGAATTAAACAATATCAGGCAAAGGCACCTCTGGGGGGCAGGACGCATTCCAATGGAGCCAAGCTCAGGGAACCAAGATTCAAGGTGGATGCCAGGAAGTATTTCCCAATGGTTAGGACCCCTGGGGTAGGGAATGGGCTTGCACAGGAGGTGGTTGAAGCCCCATCAGTGAGGGCGCTCAAGAATAGGCTGGACATGAACATGGTAGGCATGTCATGATTGGAGCTGGCTAGAGCCGGGGGTCAGACTAGATGGCCCAGGAAACCCTTTCTGACTGACCCTGTTTCTATGCAAGTAAGGTTGGGAGGAAATGGATGGTGTTATACAGCAGTAGATTGTTTCTGGTTTTGTCTGGACTTATCAATACAGCTCCATGCATGCCTGGACAGAGCGTGTGGAACATGGACCATTTCTTTGTCTAACTGTCTTGTATTTCCTAGCCCACCTGCAGCAAAGTGATCTACAATCAGTGACCACCCAGTTTCTCTGAAATCTCCAGAGTTGAAGAAATGCCTCTTCTTACAACTGTTTTAATTTTGATAAATATCTCCAGGCAAAGAAGACTAGCGAAAAAGCTCAAGAAGGGCTGTTAAACTCTCACCATATCTCTGAAGGACCTGAACTGGTGGGGAAGCCAACTGAAGTTGCATGACTGCCATCTATGGACAAGAACTGGGACCTGTTTTAACTCCACAAGCAGTTCAAAAAGAAATTGAAGCCATAATTTGGAAAGCAATGCTTCTAAACACAGACAGAGCACATATTCCTAACTAATTATATTTCTCCTGATATTGATCAAGGAGCTGGGACAAACCCTTCCAGGGCAGAAAGCATTTCTCCAGAGCTTAAGCTCCTGCACTTCTCCTTGGAGACGGGGGGGGGGGGGGGGGGGGAAAAACCCCGCGGTTTGGGGGAAAAACTCTGCGTGCTGTGGCAAGCATTGGCAGCTTTCAGGTCAGAGATTCTTGCTTTAATCCCCGTGCAACAACTGAAGTGAGGCAAGAGGCTGATGGAGTGGCAAACTATGCATCTGAGTATCTAATCTAAAACTGGCAATTTTAGTTTCTTGTGAGCCACAAGATGGAAACGGGCAGAATGTCCATTTCCTCCACATTTCTTTAATGGCAGAGGGAAGATCAGATTATTCAACATTCAAGATCATGGTAAGCGTGGTAGGCATGTCATAAGTGGAGCCAGCTAGAGCCAGGGGTCAGACTAGATGGCCCTGGAGACCCCTTCTGACTCGCTCTGTGTTTCATGCCCTCTTCCTGCTGGTTCTGCAGCTTCTCTCCATGAAGCATTTATTCTGTGCTTTACCCACAGAAGCTGCTGGGACCAAGTCACTGCCCAGCCTCTCCTGCCTTTTGTAGCTGTTTTGCAGCTCTTTCAACACTAAGACGCCGAGAACAAAAAACCTAAAGGCAAGTCAAAGCAGATTTGAGGCTTGTGTGATTCCACAATTGTGTGATTCCACAATTGCACTGCAACAGAGCACATCACATGAGTGCACACAGAGGAGGGCTGCAATCGTTATTTCTGAAAGACCACATTGATGATTTGAACCTAAAGGTGAGCCATTTGATACTTTCTGAATATTTAGGAACTGATGATATTAAGAGATGTGTGTCTGGGGCACTCAAAGTTTGACTGATGAACCAAAACAGCAAAGAACAAGAGAGGAGGTTTTTTCTCATCTCCCCATCTGAAGGAACAGCTGTGCCACGAGCCCCCCGGGTTCAAACTACAGTAATAGACAGCTTCATCTTCCAGCTGGACCCCCGTAATGGTCAGGGACATCACATTCCCTGACTTGGAGCCAGAGAATCGGGCTGGGACATCACTGGGTCTGGTGCTGCTGCTGTGCATCATGGTTCGGGGTTTGCCCCCGGGTTTCTGCTGGGCCCACCAAGGGTAATTGCTATCAGCAATATTTCCACTATTATATCTGCAAGATATGGTGACTGTTCCACCTAGAGCCACAAATTCGGGGTCCTTCAGGGTCTGCAGCTGCTGGACACTGGGTTCTGAAGAAAGAGAACCAGGTTAAGAGATTGCTTATTAAACCAGCTTAAGTTCTAGCCATACCAAGCTTTTGTGAAGCTCGGATTTTCATGTCAAGGTTTAGCCTGTCCCTCAAATGAATTGGTCTCACCAGCAGCGATCAGGACTGTGAAGAGAAGGAAAATGTAGTCCATTCTGGGGAAATCTGATCAGTCAATCTGCACAGCTGCCATCAGCACCTTTCCAGTCTTTCTTAAATCCTTCAGGGTGAAGAGAGCAGCCTCTTCATGCAAATTTTAGCATCTCCCTCCAAGCACCAGAGAGCTGTAGAAAAGGTCCAGGAGAGGCAGCCTGTTGGTCTCACAGTGTCTCTAGAGGACATGAATATCAGCCACAAACCTCTGGACCAGAACAAGAGGAGTGATGCTTAAAGAAGAGATTGCCCCCTATGGGCAAGGCCTGGAACTTACTTCAAACGCCATGAGCCAGTCTGTGAGAACATGATGCCACCGTTTGGAGAGCATCTGTACACAGGCAAAATGCATTTTCCTAAACACTCATATGCAGTCCAACAGGGATCATGGATTTGGGAAAAGGGCTTCCAGGACAGAAAGCATCCTTCTGGGGCTTCAGCCCCTGCACCTTTCCTTGGAGACGATACAGATTAGTGGGGAAGGCAAAAGAAAATCCAACAGTTAGGGTCAAGTGTTGGCAGCTCACAACCCAGAGACTCCTGGTTTAGTTCTAAGCCCACAACTGAAGTGGGACAAGAGGCTTCTCCTGCTTGGGTTTGTTGCTCACACCCTCCCTGCCGTGTAGCTCACCTTCAGGGCCTTCCCTAGCCTCTCTACTCCCCCTCTTCCCCCAGTGGGTAGTGTGGAAGGTCGTCCTTCCCATTCTCACATTCTGGGCATTTCTTTGTCCGAAGGGAAAAAATGAGAAATGTAAAAGGGGAAGTGCTACATATCCTGGTCCTATCATCCACATTCTTCATTGGAAAAAGGGATATCCTATCATGCACAGCCTCCTTCCCCTTCTGCTGGTCCTGGGGCCTTCTTCCAAGAGACGTTTCTCGTGTGTCCATGATCCTTCACTCCCTGGAGTTGGGCAGCCCCTGGCACAACACCACTCCCTCCAGTCCCCCCCACAATGAGCCTTCACACACTCGGGAAGACCCAGACTGTCCATCCCATCTGCAAACCTCTGGGCCAGAACAAGGCAGATGGGCTACCAAATATCCCCTTAGAATTCTTCACGTTTGTAGTTAATCCATGGAATACGCGCAAGTATGCTAAGACTAAAACATAAGAAAAAGAAAAATTACCATTTCTTGTTCGAACCAGCTTGATGTGGCGATCAAAACATTTCAGTCAAAACAATGGCATTTCAGTCATATTTCACATTTCCTAAAAACAGAGCTATCTCTTTCACTTCCCCCTTGTAAGCCCTGAAACTAGAATAATAGAATCATGGAATCATTGATTTGGAAGGGGCCAAGAAGGCCATGGGGCCCAACCCCCTGCAGTTGTAGGACACCAGTTTACACCATCCCACTCTGATGGTTGCCTAGCTTCTTCTTGACTGTCTCCAGGGTGGGAGAGCCCCCCACCTCTCCAGGCAGCTGGTCCCACGGTCGTATTGCTCTGACAGTGAGGAAGGTTGTCCTGATGTCCAGCCTGAATCTGGGTTGCCACAACTTGAACTAATCATTCCATGTCCTGCACTCGCATCAGCCAGAAGAGACCTTGACCTTCCTCTTTGTGACAGCCTTGAAGGGACTTCTAGAGCAGGGGTCCTCAAACTTTTCAACAGGGGGCCAGTTGAAAGGGGCCAGTGGTGGGTGCGGGCCGGCAAGGGGGTGGGGTGCGCGGGCGTGGCAAGGCGAGGTGGGGGCGGACACATGAGGCAGCGGCTTGCTTGCTCGGAGATGGTTTTCTCCGAGCGAGTCCAAAATGATCTCCGTGTTAGCAAGCTGCTGCCTCCCCGCCTCCAAAACCTCTGAGGTGGGCCAGATAAATGGGCATGGTGGGCTGGATCCAGCCCATGGTCGTAGTTTGAGGATACCGTGTCCCCCCTTAGTCTTCTCTGCTTAAGGCTGAACATGCCCAGTTCCCTCAGTCTCCCCTCATAGGGCGGTATTTCCAAACCCTGCATCATTTCTGTCACCCTCCTCTGGACCCTTCTAATTTACCTTCATCTTTCTTAAATCTTGGTCCCCAGAACTGGGCACGGTATAGAGGAAGTACTACTTCTCATGATCTGGAAGTAAAATGTCTGTTAATGCATCCCAAAATAGCATTTGCCCTTTTGGCAGCTGCATCGCTTTGTTGTCTTATGTTTAGCCTATTGTCCACAATTACTCTGAGATCTTTTTTTTTTCCAGCTCTGTTGAGCCACGTATTCCCCATCTTGCATCTGGATAAGGGGGAGAGTAGCCAAGATTCCCTTGTTTTAAGAAGGCAATTCCCACTGTTTCTGCACAGGAGGGGTTTAGCCTGCTTTTTTTAAACCAAGGCTGATGCTTCTGTTTTCATTATGGGAAGAAAAATGCATGCATGACATCCATTTTCCTCTCTCCTGGGAGGGTTGGTATTTCTCTGCCTTTCTGTATATTCTATTAACCAACCAGAAGTAACACAGTTGCAGAGCTAAAAATGTGGCTTTTCATGAGACTTGTGTTGGACTTTGCTGCAGTTTGTATTTTAAAAGCCTGCTTTCCCTCCTCAGACAAACCACCAACCAGCCCTCAAAATGGCTGGAAAACACAAGAGAGACCCTGGGAAGAGACTGCATTATGGCACGTTCCCCTTGCACTTCCACGAGTGTGTGATCACAATATGAAGTGCCTCGTATAATAAAGTTCCAGGTTTATCTCTGATCTCTTCTCTAAAATCAGAGATTGCTCTGTCCTTGGGGATTTCACTTGCTTACCAGCACCAGAAGCCAACTAACCGTGAAGACGTTTTGGTCTCCCTTCCGCTTCTGGTGGCATCATTGTGCCCTTTGTGTAATAGGCAGACAAGCAGTAATAATGAGCGTCATCGTTTGGTTGCACCCCAGAGATGGTTAAGATGGCAGAGTTGGAAGTGCTGTTGGTTGAGCCAGAGAACCGGTCTGGGATTCCTGCTAGTCTCTTGTTGAACTCATATATCAATAGAACTGGGGCACTGTTGGGTTTCTGCTGATACCAGGATGTTCCATGGCCCCCGATATTTCCACTACTTCTGGTACATGAGATCTGCACCATTTCTCCCATCGACGCCGACACGGAGCGGGGCTGTGTTAGTACAAAGTTGGCCAGGGCCCCTAGAAGAACATGTAACATCAAGAGACTGTGGTCAGTGAGACATGGATAATTTACCAGGCTGCAAGTGGGGGATAAAAGGGAGACAGAGACAGCACAGCAAGAAAGTCAGAGATTTCCAGTCAGAGGAAAAAGGAGGTTGAAATGAGAAGGTTTACATTGGAGATGCAGAGCAGTTTGCCATTACCTGTGTAAAAAGTGAAGAAGAGGAAGGAAAGAGGAAGAGTTCTAGCCATGGTAATGGGAGAACAAAAAGGTTGCCCTGGACCAAAAGCTTCTCTGCATGGAGGCATCCAGGGCCTCCTTAAATCCCCAGAAAGGGAGTGTGCAAATACATGCAAATGTGCCTCCTATTCATTGGCTGTCACATAAGAACACATTCCACACATGTACGATGTTCTCATTGCACTTCCCCTCTGCGTGGTTTTAGGAGAGGATCAGGGATGGACATCTCTTCTTCCAATGGCAGCCCTGGATCACTACCATGGTGTGCACGTCATGACGAGGAGCCTCGAGTTGCTTGCAAATACGCATGGGAGGTCTGTTTCCTATAGGTACACCTGCAGAGAAGACGGAGATGATTTCATTTCTATACTGGCCCACAGGCAAATATCTCTGAGCAGTTTCATCGTTGTTATGTCCCATCAAGTTGCCTTCAACCTATGGCCACCCTATGAACGAAAGCCTTCCAAATGTCCTGTCCATGACAGCTCCATTAAGGCCATGGCTTCCTTGCTGGAGTCTATCCATCCCATAGTCGGACTTCCCTTTGTCTTCTGCCTTGGATCATCCCTGATGTGATTGTCTCCTCCACTCGGTCTTGCCAATGGGCAATTTACAACAGACTATAAAAAAGACAATAGGAATTCAATAAAATGTGATAAAATCAGGAAACACATTAACAAGTTTAAAACAGCTAAAGACAGATAATGGCAAAGAATGACTCTGCAAAACACCTGGAACAGGTAACCCTTCTCAAGCCCCTAGATGGCCAAGTCAGTCTTTAAAGGCTTCAGAGAAGGAGACCATCTTGACCTGGCACCAAAAAGATGTCAGGTTTGGCGCCAGTTGGGCCACAGTGGAGAGGTTGTTTCATAGACGAAGTGTGACTCGTGAGGCAGCTGGAGCACATGGATCAGTGGATAAGGGGAGAGGTAACAACCAAAACCTGTGCTGCACCACTGCATCTCAAGGGAAACCAACTGTGTTCGTGCAGGCAGGAAGTCTTATTTCAGAAGTTTGGAAGTGACACGACCCAAGGGAGTTCAGAACCGAGAGGAGCAAAGCATGGAGGAAATGCGTGTTCCGCTCAGACGCAACCCTTCCTGGCCCAACAGCTGTGAAGCTGGGACCGGAGGTCACGGTTGTGTTCGTCCAGCCATTTCGAAGGGGCACCTGGTGGAGGCAAAGCCAGGGTAAGAAACCAGCGCTGCAGAAAGTATCTTCCAGAGGTTTGCAATCATTCTCATTCAATTGGAGGAGAAGAATTTGCCTTCAGAAACAAAACTGCTCAAAGGAGAAGGGGATTCAAAGGAGTTTATAATGGGTGGGACTGGTTCTTGTTTCCAAGGACGGAAATGTGTTCGCAGCTTGCAAAGGATCCCCTGTAAGTGTCCCATCTCCCACTGCCCGATCTTCGGTGATGCACAAGCCACCCTTGCTTCCCAGACTTCAATGATCATCCAGGGGAAGGTTCATCCACTGATTCTGTGAGCCGTCCCAAGGCTATGTAGCAAGGGGACGGCATATAAAAAACTAAATAAATAAATTCGGTGAGACTTTTTCAGGCCAAGAAGTGTGGGCAGCCTAGGAGGTCACAGGGAAATGGGACACCATGTAATAGATACGGAGGGTGGGGATAGACAGAGCCTCGCCTACATAGTGCTAAGGTACAATCAAAAGCAAAACAGTAACGAAGGTGCAATGACTTGAATACACACAGGCAATCCAAAAACAGCAATGCAGAAGCTCTGGAAATATAGGCAGGCAAAATATGAGACTTAATCTGGCCGGGGAGCCTTGGGCAATCCTCCGTGGCCCTACTGGGTCTTTGTCATGCTCAGAAACATGCAAGGAACCAGGATGACTTACGGCCCACCTCCTCTTCATTTGATCCTCACAATGCCAGCCCTGAGAGGCTAAGAATTCACGACTGGCTCAAAACCTCCCACGTAGCTTCATGGCAGGGTGGGAATTAGAACCCAGATCTCCCAAGTCCCAGTCCAACACTCAAACCCCTGTGCCACACTAGCTTTCAGAGAGTGTCCCATCCCTGTTGTGAAGGTTAATGCAGCTTCAGTGTAACCCCATTAAATCCGTACAGGTGTCAATCTAAAAAATGCTATGGAAACTATTTTTTATTTATTTTTCGATTTATATCCTGCCTTTTTCCTACAAAGGGCTCAAGGCAGCTTACATCATTCTCCTCCTCCATCTTATCCCCACAACAACAACCCTGCAAGGTAGGCTGGACTGAGAGTCTGTGACTGGCCCAAAGTCTCCCAGTTGGCTCCATGGCTGAGCAGGGACTAGAACCCAGATCGCCTGAGTCCCAGTCCCACGCTCTTCACCACGACACCACACTGGCTCTCTAACTAGCAGGTATTTGAAAACCCTGGTGCAGTTGTCAGCCTAAAATGGTAATATATGAGGTAGAGTAACATGCATTTGGAAACTCTGCTCCCAGACAGGGGTATTCCTTACAGGACAGGCTGGTGGGTGATTCCTGGTAACATCTGAGGTGATCGCCGTACAGTGTGAATGTGTCGACATCCTGAAACAGCCAGGCCACATCTGCTGAAACTGACCAATACAAATGGAGAAGGTGTTCAAGTTAAGGAGAGAAGGATCAGCTATGCCTGGCTCTTCTTGCTTTGCCCATTTCTTTCACAATGACGTTCCGTCTCCTGTCTTCATTACTCGAAATGCATAGAGTAAAATATGCATTTAGGTAGGCATTTTGATGCTTATTTTGTGTGAACCTGTCATCTGGATTGTATGGGCCAGGAGGCTTGGGGAGTGGGTGGCCGTTCCTTCTACAAGCAGCTGGGAGTAGATGTTTTTTCTGTCTCTTTCAGCTCTATCATTCCAGAAGCTCGAGGCACAAGAATGTTTCTTTCCAGCATCCCTCAGGTCCATGCGAAGTTGTGCTACTGCCAAACTTGCTACCCTTTTTCCACCTGCAGCAGTAATGATAATCTTGTGGCCATAAAATGAATAATAGGCCACATCATAATTCTGGCTTTTAGTGATGGATAAATTGTCAATGTTCCCATACTGGGAACCAATGCATTGTTCTGAGATGCTTGTGCTGATCCCATAGAACGCAACTGGGGGTTCTCCAGGGTCTCTGCCCAAAGAGTACCTATCTCTTTGTTGAAAGCAAGGCCATCTCAGTCATGGCCCCTCACCTCTGGAATCCCTTCCACCAGCAGCCCATCAGGCCCCTTCATTGCACATCTTCAGAAAAGCTCTCCAGAACCACCTGCTTTTGCAGACCAGGTTTTCATTTATTGGTCAGTTCGGTTTTGTATTTATTTTAATTCACAATCACTGCTTTTGTAGATTTTTACTGATTAGCTTTTATTGTATCTGCTTTGTCCGGCTTCCGTCAGGGATGATGCCTTGACAGGGTGTCTCCTTTAGAGGTAACCAAGAAATTATTTTAGATAGATGAGAGACAGAGACAGAGACAGAGACAGAGAGAGCGAGCGAGCGAGCAGGCAGCCTGCAGTCATTTCTGCTGAAGCACAGAGCAAGTGGAAACAAAGGGACAATTTCTGTCTCACTTCCCCACCTGAATGAGCCACCGTGGCCCTGGTCCGCATGCCACACAGAGCAATAGTAAGTCGCTTCATCCTCCGGCTGGGCCCCCGTGATGGTCAAGGACATCACGTCCCCTGACCGGGAACCGGAGAATCGGGCTGGGACATCGGGCGGCCTGGTGCTGGTGGTGTGCATCACCGCCCGGGGTTTGCCCCCTGGTACCTGCTGGGCCCACCAAGGCCAGTTGCCATCAGTGATTGTCCCACCACTGTATCGGCACGACAGGGTGACCGTCCCGCCTTGCGCCACAGACTCTGGGTCCTTCAACACCTGCAGCTGCTGGACACTCAGACCTGAAAAGGAAAGGGTGGGGAATGACTCATGGGAGCAATTTATGGTGGAGTAGCACCAAACCTCTGCATAACTGAAAGGATTACAGAGGGTGCCTGTTTTTGCATCAGGCACAATTCCTCCCTTCCTCCAAGTGCATTTCCCTCACCCAGGGACATCAGGAGTATGGAGAGAAGCAGAGTCCAGGCCATGGTGGGGAAACCTGATGGCTGAATAGAGGTAAAGCAGAGGGCTCTCTCCTTGCCCCCTCTCCATCTCCCTTAAATCCCCGGGGATGGAGAGGCCAGCCCTTGCATGCAAATCTCTGGGTCTTGAAGTATGTCCCCCGGGGCGCTGGAAGACTGCCAATCAGCCAGGCAGGGGAGCAGCTGCCCCCTCTCGGCGATGCCAGGACTCAGAAGGGCCTGCACTGTCTGGACTTGGGCATTCTGGGGTTAGCTCATGAACTTGATTGCAGATCCAAGGCACTCTTCAAACGCCTCTGAAGCCATGAAAGAAAATCAACACACCATGGGGTCCCAAACATGTGCAGAGGGCACTTTTCTCAGCCACCCGGGGTGTTTCCAGGTTTTAACTCTATTTATATTACTTGTATTATATTTATTTATTTGTGTGAGTCGTCCTGAGGCCATATAGCAAGGGGATGGCATACAAAACGTTTAAATAAATAAGAATAATAAGGTTTTTGGGTCAAGGATGACTCAAAGACTGAAAGTGAGGACTTCCAAAAAAGACCTGCTCCTGCTCTTTAGTTAGACCCCTTCCCTGCAACTTGTATCAGGAGGTTAATCCAGCAGCAACACCTGCCAGTTTCTTCCACTTCTTTCAAGGTGGGAAATGGCAACAGCGAGCTCTGCTGGTCTTGGATTGTATCACATCACCAGGCATAACTCCAGAAAGGGAGTGCAAACCATGATACAGAGGCGAGGTTCATGTCTCACGTCCCCACCTGAATGAGCCACCGTGGCCCTGGTTCGCATGCCACACACAGCAATAGTAAGTCGCTTCATCCTCCGGCTGGGCCCCCGTGATGGTCAAGGACATCACGTCCCCTGACCGGGAACCGGAGAATCGGGCTGGGACATCGGACGGCCTGGTGCTGGTGGTGTGCATCACCGCCCGGGGTTTGCCCCCTGGTACCTGCTGGGACCACCAAGGCCAGTTGCCATCAGAGATGGTTCCACCACTGTATCGGCACGACAGGGTGACCGTCCCGCCTTGCGCCACAGATTCTGGGTCCTTCAACACCTGCAGCTGCTGGACACTCAGACCTGAAAAGGAAAGGGTGGGGAATGACTCATGGGAGCAATTGGCACTGGCAGAGCACCGAAGAAGAGCAAAGCTCAGAGGATGGGAGGAGATACTTATTCTGCTTTCAGGCACCTCTCATTCCGCCTAGCAAGTGAATTTCCCTCACCAACACAAAGCAGGAGCGCGCAGAGGAGCAGAATTTGGGCCATTGTGCGGGCACCTGATGGATGAAGGAATGTTGCCGGCCTCCATGGGGTCCTTCTCGCCTCCCTTAAATCCCCCGCGAGTCCCAGAGCAGCCCCTGCATGCAAATCGGCCGGTCGCCCTGTACACTGGAAGGCGATTGGTCAGTCGGAAGGTGAAGCAGCTGCATCCTGTTCATCACACCCGCTCCCTGCAGGGCTTGCGAGCTCCACATTAGCTCTGCTGTCAGGATCCCCCTGGGATGGGGCAGGAAGAGAACAGTCTTCTGTTCTAACACTGGACGAGGGCACCCTCAGGTTAAACATTGACACCTATTTTCAAGGGGCGCTACAGGAGTATAGAAAGCCAAAGCATTAAAAAAATCTAGTTTTCTAACATGTACAAAGTGCATTTTCACCCAGCAAGCATGCCAGGCCCAAGAGTCATGGAGGATGTCAGACCAGGTCACATCCTTCCGGGCTTTGGCCCACTGCTCAGTGCCCTGCTTTGGCAGACTGCAGCACAGAAATGATGGTTTTCCTTCTTAATTTCAACGGAAAGGGAAAGAGGTTTCTCCCAGCTGCTCTTTCTTGGCCCTGTCGTTCATCATCTCCCCTCCCTGCACTGCACGTGCCGCTGGGCCCTTCTCCAACAGACCCTTCCTCTCTTTTTCCGTACTTCATGAAGAAGGAAATTCGGTGGTGCTTCACAGTAGCAAGTGACGAAGACGGGAACGGGGAGTGGGCAACAGCAGCACCTGCCGGCCTCCAGTGTGACGCGTTGACAGGCACTTCCAGAGCCCCACCAGCAGCGGGAATTCTTGCCACCCCGTCCAGGCTGCTCAGGCGGAATCCGGTTATACGTAGTGGCAAGAAACAGGTGGAGGAGACAGTGCTGGATTCGTCCTCGTGGGCTGGGATCTGGCTTCTCTGCATGACCTCACTTGGAGGTGACATCTGGAGCATGAACCGAGGGGTCCTTGGTGTGCATTCATTCCATTTCTTCTGCCCACCCTATTCTCTTTGCTTTGAATCTTCTTGAGGTGAAAACAAGAACTACACGATGAAAGCAGAAAGGTTCAGCTTCTCTTGAGTCACAGAGAGAGCAAGGAAAGGGAAGGAAGTTTTTGTCTCTCTTTGCCACCCAAATGAAGAGCTGTGCCCTTCGCTGCCAGTCCACAGAGAGCAATAGTAAGTTGCTTCATCCTCCGGCTGGACCCCCGTGATGGTCAAGGACATCACATTCCCATACTGGGAGCTGGAGAAACGGGCCGGGACATCGGACGGCCTGGTGTTGGTTGTGTGCATCACCGTCCGGGGTTTGCCCCCCGGCGTCTGCTGGGCCCACCACGTCCATCTGCCATCAGGGATTGCTCCCCTGCTGTATCTGCAAGACAGGGTGACCGTCCCACCTAGAGCCACGGATTCTGGATCCTTCAACACGTCCAGCTGCTGGACACTCAGTTCTGAAAGAATGCAAGGGAAGAATTAGCTCATTGTCGTTTCCTGTGCAGCAACACCAAACTTTTTTAAAACTTGGGATTGTCTTGAACGCGGCCGTCCTGGCTTCCAGAGGAACATGCCTCACCCATGGAGATCAGGAGTGTGACAAGCAGCAATGCCTGGGCCATTATGCTGAATCCTGGTGGACGACTGTTCATAGAAATGGGTGGGGAGACCTCCCATCACCTCCCTTGCGATCTCTCCTAAACCCTCTGGGGTGAGGGAGCACCCCCTGCATGCAAATTGTTCAACTTTAAGTATTTTCTCTGGGCACTCAAAATCCATCAGCCAGCTAAAAAGGAATACAGCCACACCCTTTTTGTAAAATCTGGACTTTGCAGGTGCTGTAAGATATGGATTAGATTTTTTTAAAGTCCAGCCTGAGTAGAAGGGACTCAGGGTGGATGCTAATTTGAACACCTCGAAGGCCATCTCAGCTTTTGACCTTGGGCCTGTTTTCAGTCCCAAGGGACAGTTCAGGGCTCTGCGACTTCAGGAGTTAGAACAATAATCTCCTGAGCTTCCCTGCCTATGGGGCAGCCCTCTTGGCCCAATATTGGGATATGGGCTCCCAGGGCAGAAAGCATCCCTTCCAAAATAGAGCCTGGGCACCTCTCCTTTGGGTTATTCAGCACTGGCCAGGGCATAACAAGGATGCCCACTATTCTGGTATTGGCAGGTTGCAATCCTAAATTCCTACTTTATTTGGGTACCTGCTACTTTTGAAACAGCCATGGCTTCTTCCGCCCTGGTGCATGCTCACCTCAATCCTCATGTACATTCAGGATCCTTCCCCAGTCCTGTCTGCTCCCACTTTCCCCAACCTGGTGCAAAGGAAGAGGAGATAATTCAGAGGAACAAATTCAGCATGCCTTCTTAGTTAGATTAAAACCAGGAGAAATCTTTAAGGGCAAAGAGGCATTCTCTGGTCTCACACATATCTCAATATTCATGGGGATGGAAAATGGAGGGAGGAGGAGATGTACACTGAATTTCTATGGGGAAAGGAGAAATTCTTCAAGTTTTCCACAAGTAAGGCCATCTTTGACAGGGGTTGTGGCACATCTGTCCTCTTTTTCCTAAGGGATCCATCACAATCTAAGTGGGAGGAGAGATTTTACTATGTATGTATGTATGTATGTATGTATTTAAAACTTTTGTATCCTATCCTATACATAAAAGTCTCAGGACAGTCCAACAACAAACACACAGCATCGTATCTATAATAAAAGCCCAATTTCCAGGTCTTAGAATAATGGGAAAATAAAAAGGGGTTGGTCTGGCACTGAAAAGAATCATGTTGGTGCCAGGCTCACCTCTCTGGGGAGCATGTTCCACAACCGGGGGCCACCACGGAGAAGGCCCTTCTCTTCTCCGGGTAGCCACTCTCCTAATCTCCTTCAAAGAGGGCTCCCAAAGAGGACCTCCAACTCAGATCTTAAGGGGCAGGCAGGCACACATGGCGTCCATCTCCAGGGAGGAGGTCAAACAACTTCTCTAGTGTTCTGAACTTTTTCCTTGACCACCAAAAGATTTCCCCTTGCCCCAGCGCCCTCTCAGGGTATTTTATAATACCCTGAACGACTTGGGACTAGGATATCTGAAGGAGCACCTCTTCCCTTACATGCCCTCATGCCTGCGGGAGATCTGCGGGAGAGGCCCTGCTCCGGGAGCCCTCTTTAAAGGAGATAAAAAGAACAACAACCTGGAGCAGGGCCTTCTCTGTGGTGGTGCCCAGATTATGGAATGCGCTCCCTGGAGAGGTGTGCCTGGTGCTGAGTTTATATTCTTTTCGGTGCCAGGTTAAAACCTTTTTATTTAATGTCTATTTTAAAAATTAATATTTTATCGTTGACAGTCACTTTTTTGTTTTTGTTTTTATATAATTTTACGGAATTTGTTATTGTTTTATTGTTTTAATTGTACGTTTGTGAGCCCTCCCAAGATGCTGAGGCATGTGGTGATGGCATATCAAAGTTTTAAATAAATAAGTCAAATAAAGAATGTCTGTTTGTCATTCTTTGGCGATTGCATTCGTCAGCAAGGGTACAGATTCTCCCATTACACATGTCCATTGCTTTGCAGCCCCTTGGTCGCCCGTACCTCCTGATCCGAAAAAGCCTGATGGAAGGAATTCCCGCACAAAGTGTTCTCCTCGGTTCCTGATGAAGAGGAAGGTTAAGCTATTCTCTACTGCAGAAATGTCAGCCCTGTTTCTTTCCCTGTGGAACGAGCAGGAAATAGCAAGCAGCTAGGATGGCACCTGCTGGCCGTACCTGCAACTCTGCCCGCATGAGCACTGCCTGGACGTGCTTGCTGGGGGCACCCTTTCTGCCTCCCCGCTCCGCTCCGCTTCAGAGCTGAACAAGGAAATGCCTCTTCTCCTGGACTCACTTTTATTATGCAAAACTGCAGACAAGCAAAGCTGCCCTTGCGTTGCAGATGGAAACGTTAAAAAGGACATAAGCATGAGGGCTGAATTCCATTTCAGAAAAGACCGGGGGAGGGGGTCCACATTCCAGTCATGGGCAGGCTGAAGGACTGCCCACGAAACATACCAGATGAGGTGAAACACCAGAAATAAGCTCCCCAGAGCAGCAGGGTGCTGCAGCGTAAGACTGTTACTGCTACTACCCACGGGAGGCATTTCAACCTTTGCAAAGGGGATTGCTCCAAAGACAGGAAACCGCTAAATGATCGGTGGCTGGGGAAAGGAATGGGAGTTTGACTTGTGCAAGGGACACACTGGCAAATATTCCAGATCAAAGGGTGCTTTGACCATGATGGCCCATCCAGGTGGGCTGCAATGTCTCGGTGCAGGTTCCGAGTCCCAGCTAGTGAGGACACAACCACCCTCAACGCCCAGCCTCTGGAATCCATGGGCAAGATCTCCTGCACTAAGCGCAGAGGCTGCAGCATCAGCCTGAGTGAATGGGAGAGTTCCAGCAGTATCAAATGGCATTTCTCAGTTTCTATAGCACTCCAGGGGGCGTGGCCACCGGAGACCCTCAGAGGGCCAGGCATGGCCCCCGGGCCTGCACTTCGGCACCCCTGCTCTAACACGATGGCCCAGGTCTGATGCTTCCTAACACAAGGCAAAAACAGTGGGTCCCCCTTGATGGATCCAGCCCCTCCACCCTCCTTATCTGGACTGGGGCTTCCAAGACCAAGGCAAGTGCAGGAGAATGAAGGGTAACAGCGAACTCTGTGGCATTTTGCAACAATGCTGATCATGGGACAGGTCTACTAGTAGTAGTATGTAAAGTAATAAATATTATTTTACATTTATACTCTGCCTTCCTTCCTCTTGCAAGGAACATGTAGTGATTGAACACAATTGCCACTCTTGGTAGACATCTCAGAGTCATCACGACCCAGATTCTGAAGAGGAAGAGGAAGGGGGCCACCTTGAATGGGGATTTGGCAACTCAGGGGAGGCAGAAGCCTGTCAAGTGCCACAATGGGGCCGCCCAAGGTTCCCAGGCCATCCAGGAGAGCAGGAATGTTGTGGAAGAGATGGAAGGGGTCCCGGAAGGGAGAAGGAGAGCTG